AAAAGCACCTTTGGGACCACCTTTATTCATAGAAATTAACAAGGTGCTATGCCCAAAAGCATCAACATTTTCTTCTCTCACTAGAGAACCACAGAGACCATAAATCCTTAAAAATAAAATGTTGAGCTTTTTGCTCAGGGATTATTAATTCATCCCCCCGTACAACTCTGATCAACCCTGGCCTTGTGTCAAAGATTTTTTTCTCTCTAAGTGTTTGGTAGCAGAGGAGACTAGCCGTTGCAAAAGGTGAGTGAGATCTACTCATGATCAAACTGGCTGCTAAAGTCAGGTTGGAAGAAATATCCTTCAGTTTCAAGTAGGGAAAAAGAACTGGAAACATGGAGGCTGTTTGGAAATATGGTTTAATGGCGGACAAGACCACATGGCTTGGAGCTCCAACGTGAAAAGTACAGGCACACACTTCAAGATGTTGGGTAAAGGAAAAGAAGGAAAAGGGCTGATATGCTGAGTGTGCCTGGGTTTTATAACCTTTGTTGGGATTTGAATTTGAGCTTGTATTCCGATTGGTTGTCAGACTCCCATGGGGCCATGCAGGGGCAACTCTGTAGGCTGTCCTGAGTCCCAGGCTTGGTTGAGCCTCGCAGGATGATGATGTAATGAAAGGGTTTTGGGCACTTCCTTATAGCTCTACCTCGAGATCTTTGTTATGTAAAATATTCTGGCCCAGACCTTAATGGCCCACCCATTAACATAGGTGTTGGGGGGTGGGGGGAGCTTCTGCTTCTGAGGTGAGTTTCTGCTTCTTTTTTTAGGGGAAATAGTCTGCCTTTTTAGTATATCCTAAAATATTTCATTTTCCTAGGAGAGGGGTGGGTTTTAACTTATATGTATTTTAACTTAAATGTAACATATTTAACTTATACGTAGAATGAAAAAGAATCTTCTTTTTAGCTATTTAGTGATTCTCCCAGTAACAGAGCTACACAAATGCTTCCTTGCTTAACATGACAAATGTATGTATAAGTATTTCAGTTTCACCCCCATTGCAATTTGCATCTCTATGCAGCTTAATACAATTAAAAGAAAGGGGGGAAGGGGGGGAACCAGGAACAATAAAACAGTTCACACAGGGGAAAAACAAATCGGGGAAACTGTAAACTCCATTGCAAAACTCACCAACCGCTTTCAGGACAGGAACTCTGCTGGCCGAGCTGCCAGGCCAGCTGCAACAGGCGGATTTCTAAGGCTTTATAAAAACACCCTTCAGGATCGGGGCAGACTTAGAAGGGGAGGCCTCTTCTAGAGGGGATCCACCCCACACACACTTGACACTGCTGTGCTGATGGGACTAAGAGCCAGGCAGGTAGGCCAAGATCTTCCCAGACAGGCAGAAACAACAGAGAAAAATGTTTCTTAAGCCCTGTAGACTTTACAGATGACCAAAAATAACCCACCTGACTTCTTCCCCAAACCCCCAAAACTTTAACCTTAGACTGCCTACTATTGACCTCACCCCTTTCCTAAGAGGCCTGTAGGGGGGCGTGCATAAGTGCACCAACCTGCCTACCGTCCCTGTCCTATTGTTTCTTTTATTTTTCTTATATGTACCCATTTCATGTATTCATAACTTTGTTTATACTTATACCTGCTATCTTATAATTGCTTGACAAAATAAATAAATAAATAAAAATAAATAAAATTTGTCCCATGAATGCCGCCCAGAAACCAACTGGCAACTTGTGGAAACTAGAAACTAGAAATATGTCACTAGTGATGAAGCAAGATACAGCTACAGCTGTTCCATTCTGAATTTGCCCCAAGTGCTTGCTGTAATTTGAATTTGCACCAAGACAAATTCCTTGAGTGTCCAATCACACTTGGACAAAAGATAATTCTATTCTATTCAAAATTCAAACAGAAAGTGGGTAGGACATGAGCGAGAGACTGCAAGGAGGAGCTCCTGATCCAGGAAGGATCCATAATTGACACACACAAAGGTTCTATGCAAAGACTGTCAGGAAAGTCAGTAATTAAATCAAATTGGAGAACATATAGGTCAAGGACTATCCGTGTACCTGCAACAGCCTGACCCATGCGGTGCAGGAAATCCCACGCTGCCTCAGGATACAAAGGTGTCCTATCATCACAACACAGTGATGGTCCAGGGGAGGGAATGGGAAACGAACTCCCATTCCAAGCAGCCTTCAAAGGAACTAGCTCTTCGCTAACATCCACTAACAAATTCTCTGCTGTGAAGTAAAACGTCTGGGCATTCACCCACCCAAAAGCGCCTTCTGGAACACCCAGGAGAGACTGAAAAAAGAGATGGTGACTTGGCCAAAGTAAAACACAATTTTGAAGGCAGCCCTATTCACTTAGTACAGGGGCTCCCAAACTTGGCAACTTTAAGACTTGTGGACTTCAACTCCCAGAATTCTCTAGCTAGCTTTGCTGGGAGTTGAAGTCCACAAGTCTTAAAGTTGCCAAGATTGGAGACCTCTGACTTAGTAGCACCAGAGCTGGAAGTGCATGCTGATTTAATTGTCCACCAGACTGCACAGATGTAATTATTTTGGATTAACTATCGAACTGCAGATTCCAACTGAACATTAGGGGGGAAAAAAATATTAAAACAAGGCAGTCTGACAGGGAAACCGCTACCCAAAAATGGAGTTCATTCTTCTTTGCTGGATATAGATTGCTGTATTTAGGGGAGATTTCCTGCACTGAGCAGAAAAATCATTGTATGGCAAATTCAAGGACAGATTATATGACATGCCAGGGACGAAGCTAATCCTACCTTTCAAAATATAGTGACAACTTCAACAGATATCCGGGCCTAAATAAGGAACTCACTGCTCACCCAAGTTAAATTAATTTGTACATTTGTACATGCGGTCCCAATTTTTTCCTCCCCTCTAAGCCAATCTGCTTGTGTCTGCAGATGAAAATTAGCATTTCAGACATTTGATGGCCTGTACTCTGCACTATTAAAGCCCACACAAGGTTAGCCTTAATGCAGTGGAACACTGCAAGGTAAACCACCGAGAAGATGCCATACGTGTCAAATCATAATATCCACCACAGACCAGCTAACAGCGGCACAATCCTTGGATGCACAACCAAATCAGAGGCATCTGTACACAGCAGCAATGGCCATAATAAAGAATGGTAGAACTACAAGTCCCAGCATCCCTCACCATTGGGCATGTAAGCCAGGGCTGCTGGGAGCTCAGCCATTAAAGCAGCCCCCCCCTCCCCCCCAAACTTGGCAATTCTGGGAGTTGAAGTCCACAAGTCTTAAAGCTGCCAAGTTTGGAAACCTCTACATTTGAGCAATATTGGACCGAGGACTGTGTGTAAATGGAAAACTTGCTGACGGCATCAGCCCTGGTGGCGCAGTGGTTTGACTGCAGCACTGCAGGCTGACTCTGCCCATAGCCAGGGGTTTGATTCAGGTGGGCTCGAGGTTGACTCTGCCTCCCACCCTTCTGAGGTTGGTACGGTAAAATGAGAAGCCAGATGGTTGGGGGCAATATAGTGACATTTGTAAACCACTCATAGAGAACTGCTTTTGCTATTGCTAATATGCGCTAGGAGCAGTTTTTATCTGGAGAAGCTGCCCTTGCACCTAGTGTGCTACTCCTGCAGGAGGGACCTGCTGCGCTTGGGTCCTGATCATTGAGGACTCTTCAAACAACTTGCACCAGGATATTCATCACTGAGGACGGCAGAGTCCCCCTTGGCCAGCTCTGTGGGCTCCATGGCACCTCTGCCTGGTGCCGGAGGACCCTTGCTCCCTGCCCAGACCAGGAGAGTGCAGTCTGGGCCGCACAAAGACCTTTGTTTGGGGTGACCGCTGCCAGAATGATGCATGATTGCATCAGTTGCTTACTCATTTATTGCAAACTATCTAAAGCAGGGGTCTCCAACATTAGCAATGTTAAGCCTGGCGGACTTCAACTCCCAGAATTCCCCATTGTATTTTTTATCAAAATGTGACTAGAAAGGAAAAATATATATAATAATGGTATATTTAGAAACGTAAAAGGGCATAAACCAGAGGTCTCCAAACAGAATTCTGGGAGTTGAAGTCCACAAGTCTTAAAGTTGCCAAGTTTGGAGACCCCGGGATAAACAATGGAAAATTATAATTTAATATAAATTTGTGAGTTGTTATTAGAACCATGTAATTCTGGGAATTGAAGTCCTCCAGGCTTAAAGTTGCCAAGGTTGGAGACCCTTTAATGGAGGCAATATAAAGTTCTAAAACTACAAGCAATTCGCTATCAGCATGCCTTGCTTTGCACGGGGACACACACACACACACACACACACACACACACACACACACACACACA